GGTGGGGTGGGGCGGGGCGTAGCCTGGGCTGCAGTAATCATGCACTGATGGAGTTTGCAGTGCTCAGGGATAGGGATCAGGTGAAGAGTTAAGTCACGACTCCGAATTTTAGGAAAGCAATCTTCCAGCTGTTCAAGGACTTAAGTCAATAGGACCCACTGGGACTGACAGCCTTTTAGGGTATTGATCTTTCCTTCAGCATCCTTCTTTTCAAGGATAGTAAACCTCAAAAGGAATATCAGCTCTTGAAAGGTATAGGCTCAAGCAGATATAAACCTCCTACCTTGCAAAAAAACTGCAGTATCACTGCAGAAGAAACAACATCTAGTGAATATTCAACTTGTGTAGATTAGAAATGTACTTTAGTCTGTTACCCGACAGAAGAAAGGTCAGAATTTCTAAATCACTTGTTTAATATTTGGTCTGGTGTTTAAGCTTTGTTCTTGCTTCCCTTCCCAATATGTAAGATTACTGAATTTCAATGTGCTAATTAAACTTTTAATAACTGACTGGATTTGCCAGTTCACCTGTGGTCCCAAATTCCCCAGGAGTCTGAACCATACACTACATGAGTGGATTCTCAGATACTGTTGATTGGTGCAAGGAAATCTGCACCTGCTTTAGCCTGAGAGAAGCATGGTTTTTTGCATGATGAACATTTAAGCAAGTGAAGCTGCATAAACACAGCAAAGAAGCAAATGTAAACAAGTCACTGACACAATCTCCCATAGTATCCTTACAGCCAAATTGAGGAGATAATTTGGTGCATAAATGCATATAAGAAGGTAGAGGATTGAAGGACTGTCCTGAGCGGGTCAAAGTCCATTTGGCAGCACATTACCAGTGGTATCCCTCAGGGATCATACTGGGAGCCACAAAGTTTGATGTCTTTAAAAAAGGCCTGGAAGGACAGAGTCCTTCCCCACCACCCCAAACATGGACCTAGCTGCATCTGGAGCTCCAGGCTGAGTTCTCAGCTCCCCAGTACAAGAAAGTTGCTGACATATTTGAGTGAGTCCAGTGTAGTCATCAAGATGATGAAGAGACTGTAAAATGTAAGAGACAAGGAAAAATATGAGAGAAATGTCTTTGTGCAGTCTGCAGAAACAAAAGCTATGGGGAGAATTACTGCCTTCCGTAGCTTCTTAGTAAGACAGTACTGAGAAAATGGAAATCAGCTCATCTGATGGAATGGCACAGTGACAGGGTAAGAGATGATGAATGTAGTTTGCAAGACAGTCTTTTCCAATGGTACATGAAAAGCTGTAGGATTTTTCCCCTCCAAACCATGACAGAATCAGATACTGGAACAAGTTGCCTGAAGATATTGTGGAATCCCTATCAATGTAAATTATGCTGAGACTGCATAATGGCACCTAGCACTCTTAATCAGAATTAGCTCTTAGTAACAGAACTAGTGTTTATTTCATATGGGCATGAACACCTAAAAATTAAATTAGTATTAGGAGCAAGCAAAGTTATAATTTCATAATTATTTACTACTGTTGTTCTTACTTCTTATTTAGCACAGGTTTTTCTACAAGATATAAGAAGTAAAAATCAACAGCACTACAGCATAATTTGCAAAAAAACCACCAAAATCCAAAAAGTGATCATCAAAATATTTGTTTATCCAAAAGACTTAGTGTTAAATTCACCCCATGAAATATAAAGAAACAGGTGATGCTTTACCACAATAGAGCACCATCTTTTACACATCTGTTGTGACCATGCTTTTGGTTAAACACTAGTGCATTCCAGAAAAAAGTCACCTCTTTCTGAACTGATTATATAATTAATTTTGTGCTGTATTATCATGTATTCACTAAAATCAAACCATTTCCTAATTCTTATAACACTAATTTCACAAACCAGTGAAGCTATATTATATGTTTACTGCTGTAGAATATCTACTTATGACCTCAGAGCTACTAAAGGTATATATATATGTAGACATTACATATATAGTAAATGTATACATACACAAATGCTACACATTTAGCGTAACACACATTATGGTATAATAATACTAAAAATTGTTGTAGACAAGCAGCTGCTCAAAGTATCTTTTCCTTCCTCAAATCACGTGCTATATTCATCCCAACATGCTAATTGCATGTTAAGTAGCTGCAACATTTTTTTTTTTGCATTCCTTAAAACTTAACACTGTCATTACAATAGCACATTTTACTATTACACCAAATGAAGCACTCAACTTTGAGGGCCTATGGGGTCAAAGCTATTACATAACCACTTAAGAAAGGGTGAAATTATCCCTTTCCCTCATGTCATATGCAGGGAGAGAACATACATGGCTATCTTTATAGTGGAAAGCCTCTTACATCAGTAGTTCTTCTTTATTTCAATTTTATTATTTCAGGCTGTAGTCAGCTTGGACAGAAAAGGCGTAGCTGGAGCAGGTACAGCACTGGCTATTTAGCCGACAGCTCCATCACCCACACGCTGACAATCATTCCGGCCCTTTGAAGAGCAACCAGCTGCCACCTGCAGCATAGTCCAAGCAGCGACCTCTCACAGAAACTAATCAGGAAGCCGCATTCAGAGAAGAAACATGCAAGCACGTTGCCACAGGTTGCAATTTTTTTCCAATCAAAAATTATTCAAAACTCATTTTGAAAGATTTTACAATTCATAAAAAGTGGCATTTAATGATGGCCGTGTCAGTCTGATTTTTCCCTATACTTGAAAATTATTTTTCTCAGTATGGTGCCCAGATGTTAGCAAATGAACAGCTGGCGGATCATCATTCAGCGCTTCCTGGCTGCAGTACCTCCAGAAGCAGTGCTGTCACGGTAATGCCTTAAACAGATCAAGCTGCGTCCACTGTAATTCCTGACATGAGTTGACACACAAAAAAATTTTCCCTATAATGTAGACGTGCAGTCTGATTTATTTCAAATTTTTAAAATAACCTCAGACTATAAACTAGGTAGTTCAGTGCTGTAAATTTTAGAGCAGCTCCATAGATCTCAGTAGTAACAGTATGTCCAGCTGACAGTGCAATACAGAAATTCTCCTGCAAAATTCTGGTCTATTTTTACAGCATGACTACGGCAGTTTCAGGAAAGAGTTAACGCAGTCAGCTGACTTTGTTTTCCACTTCGACCAATGCTGCATTGGGCAACTGTTGTTCTTCCAATGACAGGCGCTCCTCGCAAATTTTGAAGAGGTTCTCTTTATCCTGCTTGAACGGAAACCCCTCTGTCAATCACAGGAAGATAGTTCAACAGGCACGGATAGGGTTGTGGTTTTTTGTTTTGTTTGGTTTGTTTTTTTTTTTGGGGGGGGGGGGAAGGCCTACTGCTGTAAAAAATTACCAAAGAGGCAAGCAGAAGTCACTTCTCTAAAAAGCCATCTTCCGTTCTTCTAGCTACGTTTAAAGTTAAGACAACTTATCTGCCTTTTGAAAGAGCAGATTTAATACTGTATGTATTATCTGAATTCAGTGAGAAAATGCTTGGAAAGAAACAGGGAAAATGTCAGCATTAAATACAAGATATTTAACTGCTAACAATGCCAAAAGTGATACACTAAGGAACATTCATTTACTCAAAATTTGTAGTTAAGTATTATTTATTACTGATTTGCAATACTTTGACACAGTTTCAGTGTGATGTATACAATATCATAGATATGTATGTCTAAAAGGGACTTCAGGAGTAATTAGTCTGTGTTCCTGCCCTAAGACAAGGTCTGCTTTACCTATGACATTTCCAAGAGACATTTTTCTAGTCCTCCTTAAAAGATTTTTCAATAATGAAGAGACTGTCACCTCCCCTAGCAATTTATTCTAGTGATTCATTATGCTTGACATAAAATAGTTTTCCCAGTCATCAGACTTGAACCTTCTGCACTTTAAATTAAGTTCATTATGTTCGGGATGTAGAAAACAGACTACTTACTTCCTGTATTCAGAAGTCTTTAATGTATATGAAGATTTATGTCTGTTCTCTGTCTTTTCTTCTTCAGCCTCAATAACCACGAACAGATGACCTTTTCTGAAATGTAAGGCTTATACCTGGGCACAATACTCCATTGGAGTCCTCATCAAAGGTGATTAAAATGTGAGATTTCTCCTTGTGGCTTTCAGAACAATCACCCATTTGAAAATCTTGCATGCTTACCTCTTTCTTAATAACATGACATCACTTACTCAGGTCTACATAGGACAACTCCTAAATTGTATTTTGAAGAACTGTTTCTAACCACTTGTTCCTTATCTTAACATTTTACATTTTGTTTAAGAATAATACGTACTACTGCAGAAACACACTCCCACTACCCAGACTAACTAT